AATATACTTTATTAAATTTCATGATGTATAGTATTGAGAAACTAATATTGTATTTTACAGCACAGAAAAAATTGGAATCTTTCATGAAAATTATGAAACATATATCAAGAAAAAAATACTATTAATGCTAGATAAATCAAATAAATAATATAATAAGTTAGATAGATATAATTTAGATTTATAGTAAGCTATATATCATTAACTTGATGCATCTCTTCTCGAACAGCCCATAAGATTTTATAGTGTAGAGCGAGCTCTGTTGCCTTGAGGCCCTCAGGTTTGTAATACTATTCAATAAATTAAATATAATAATTCAAGATAAAAGTTAAAGAAATCTAGTCTTAATGAGAAAATTATTGCTAGAAGATGCTTATAGTATTGCTGAATCTCGTGGTGGAATATGTATTTCTACAGAATATAAAATCCATTAATATGGTGTTGTTCTAAAAATCATACATGGACTGCTTTACTAAAAAAAGTTAAATGTGATGCCCACATTGCGCAGGTCATGTAAAGCTTACTCTTGAAGATGCTATACAAATCGCAGTATCCAAACATGTTCAACAGAGTATGTTAATAGTAAGAGTCCAATGTTATGGAAATATCATCAAGACCATATTTGGAGTACTCTGTTTAAAAATATTAAATATTTAGGGACGTGGTGTCCACATTGTGCGGGTATGCCATTTCAAGTTAAATATTCTATAAATGATACACATAGAATCGCCAAAAGACGAAATTGCCTGTGTCTTTCTGATAGTTTCATTAACTCTATGATACCATTGCAATGGAAAAATCATGAATGGACCGCTTCACTTGTTCATATTAAAAATGGACATATTGTGCAGGAAATGCACGTTGTACAATTGAAGATGCTATACAAATAGCTCGAAGCTGAAATGGATGTTGCCTTTCTAATAAATATATTAATAATAGCACAAAATTGCAATGGTGTTGTGTTAAAGGTCATGAATGGTTTGCTTCATTGCTAAAATCAAAAATAGTAGATCATGGTGTCCAGAATGTTCTCATAGAAAACCTTACACTCTTGAATATATTAAGCAGTATGCATATAATAAGAATGGTAAATGCCTTTCCGAAAAATATATTAATTCTGATACTCCATTACTGTGGCAATGCATTAAAGGCCATGAATGAACTGCTCAATTTAAAAATATAAAAAATAGTTTTACATGGTGTCCATATTGCTCCAAATACAAACGTGAAGAATTATGCCATGAAATTGTATCAAAATATCTTGGTCCATCATCAGAGAATCGCTGGCCTAATTTCTTAAAAACACCAGAGCATAAATTGGGATTGCAACTTGATATTCCTTATTATGATTACGGTTTTGCTATAGAAGTACAGGGACAACAGCATGAAAAATATCACGAATTCTTTCATAGAGGAGATCCCAATAATTTTATCAAACAGCAAGAGCGAGATCAACTCAAGAAAGAATTGTGCAAAGAGAATTGGATTGCTTTAAGGTATGTTTGGTACTACGAAGACCCATATATAGTTATTCCAGAACATCTTCGAGAATTGGGTCTTATAAAATAAACTTAAAACTTTTAATACTGTACTTTGTATAAACATAAGACTGATCAAATTGAAAACAATTAATAACACATGAAATTTATAAATCCTTATTACTAATGGTAAAATATTTATTATTCATCTCTGTACATGTACATGATCTTATATTATAAATTGTAAAATTATTATATTAATCAGAACCTATTTTTCTTATACGTTTATTATCTCGTTCTTCATGATCATTGTCATTTTTTAACATATTTGCTTGTGCTTGTAATAACTGTGCAATGTATGATACCACCTTTTTTGCTTCTTGATAATCATCACCAAAGCAATTACAACGAATTTCTTCAGTGATTTCAGCCATTGGATTTTGTAATGTACCACACAAATGGATAAATCTCCAAACATCTCCCATTGTTACTATACCGAACAAATCCACTGATTCGTCACGTTTTCGTTTTCTTAACAATTTCTGACAAGATTTTATAATTTTATAAGTTAAAAACTTCAAGAAATAACCTAATGTTATTTACTTAGATTCTTACCTCGCCTGCAGTATACACTTGCACCAAATTTTGGGCAACTCCTTTTTCCATATCTTGCTTTTTGACCTCATTAATCAATATCGGAACATTTTGTATATTGACTTCATAGTCTACATTACCGTAGCCTCGAGTCCCATTAAGTTCGGACTCCACCTTTAATTTTGTTGTTGAATCTTTAGATTTTCGAATATGGTTAACTGCAGTTGTCATGAAGATTGAAATATATTCACGTACTGTAGCTTCATTGGTATGTATACAGTTATGAAATGCGAATGCCTTATTCTTGAGATTTGTAATAAAACATTCGATTTCCTCTTCCTCTATTGGTGAACTTAATTCGGGAAGATTCTCGAGTAAAAATTTCGGCATTGCATCAACATTGGTATATTCATTGTTGTAAATTTCACGGATCACCTCCTTAAATTTCCAATCTCCGAAAGCCTTCTTTCCTTCGATTTCTATTTTTAGATCTAAACATCGCTCATTTGACTCATTTGGCTTTGTTTCTTTCAACAACTTCATCAGAAGAAACTCGTTCTTAATTAATTTTCCTTTGCCAGTTGAGTTATTATTAATCGAATAAATAATGTTTGCGTTTTCCAGATAGCTGGCAATATTTTTAAATACATCTTTAACTTCTTTTTGAAGAAGATCCCATGCCCCGCTGGAATAGGGTATTTCGCATTCACAGGTGTTACGCAAAAATCTTAAGTTTACCACAACTGCAAATAAATTAGTACGGTTAGTGCAGTTATTTAATATAAGCAGAAAAAATATTTAATACATACTACTCGAATCTGATATCGGGTAGCGTACAACGAGTGGTTTTGTATCCGTTGTACTGTCAGCCAGAGGTTGTAGAAGAGTGCCTGGTGGAATAGGTGTACTGCGATCGTCATAGTTGAAGAATACGATACTTGATGGTCTAACATCTTTCAATATGTCAAACTCGTTCTTGAGAATGCGCTTGAATTGAGCCAAGTTAGGGACTTTTGTTATATCAGCCGTCAACTCATCTGAACTCGGTTCGCCTTCAAAGAGAACCCACATTTTAATTATAGTATCTTGGGTGATGCTTGGACAAGGACTAGAACTTCCTGCGAAAATTTTTTCATCGTTGGACATATCCGCCATTATAACAAATTTAGTCGTTATTACTACGCCAATTAGATAATCAAAAAAAAAAATCAGAAATCAAAAATTCTGAATTTTGCAGATATTCAAAAGTTATTTATATGAGAATTGCCTTCGTCGTTGAAAAACATGTATTTTCCACGATATAATTATATTTGGTATTTTATGTTTCACGGATTTTATCTTTGCATTAAGTGGCGTGTGAAAAAACCAGTTTCGTGGAATAGGGAGGAAGGGAATAATACATTTCCTGAGAAAAGCTTTCTTGGCCATGGCTCTTTATCAAAGGTTTCTTTGTAGTTAAGGTGATGTTTGCATACTGGTTTCAAACAGATTTAAAAAAAGAAATAATGATCAATAATTTATTTTTGCAAAAGCTCAGAACACGTA